GTATCTTTAGTTCCGGTGTACATAGTAAGTAATTATAAAGTTGTCTATTTCATATATATATATATATATATATATATATATATATATATATATATATACACATATATATCTGACAGCATATGTTGATCAGACAGAACACCGGAGCATGGAGTTTACAGTCTCTAAAACATTTGCCTAAAATAAGATTTGAAGATAGATCACGATTTGCAAACCAATTTTCTCTGACAACAAAATCTAAATTAGACAAAGGCTACAAATTCTTCACCGAACAATACCTGTTTGACTATGAAGGTAGGTATTTTTGTTTTGCGTAACCGTTAGCTTAGCATTAGTGAATTTTGTTAGCTAGCTAACTATGTGACATAACTGTTCCTTAACCAGAACTTTTTACTGTTTTTGAACTATACCGTTTTAGGCTCTAATCTTGATCAGATTCTTAAATTATAGACTGGAGTTGACATTCATCCCATAAAATAGGGGTTTGTTTGTTATAAGCAGAGATGTCCGGCGCCGCCGCTGCTTTGTAATGCCTTCCTCTAATCAGACCAATTTTTCTGTAACGAATAATCTAACGAATTCGTATTTCAAATCCAGTAATCAGATTAAAGTTATTTTTTATGTCCTTTATTTTCCATTACTACAGAAAATGAACCTCTAAACGTTACATCACTGACAGGCGGCGGTGGATGTTTCCTAACTGTGGCTAAAGCTGCTGCTAGCTGGTTTACTCATGATGGGAGGCTGGTTCCTTTGAATACAGTTGGATAATGGTAAATTGACAATGACTAATAACGGTTATCTAACACGTAAACACTGTTTTATAAAACAGAAAGTGAACCTCTAAACGTTACAGCACTGACAGCACTGACAGAGAGTATATTTTTTCCTAAATGTGGCTAAAGCTGCTGCTAGGTGGTTTACTCTTTGATCGGAGGCTGTTTATTTTATACACAGTTAGAGAATGGTGATTTTACAATCGTTAATAACAGCTATCTAACACTTAAATGCTGTTATTATTAAACTTACCTTTTATTATATCCTTAAGATTATGAGAATGCGGGAATTTTTCAGCTTGGTTCCCAAGGCAAAATCACACCGGAAGTAAAGATACCCAGTTTTGAGTTATGGCGGCCATTGTCTGACGTCACTGTGAAAAGGGTCTATTAAAAACATCTAGATTATATTTTGTAAATGTCATGAAACTGTGGAATTTTTTTTCTCACAATTATCATACTGTGAGCATTTCTACTCGTCCATGCCTATTAAAACTGTAAGTCCACAGACAGATTCATTGTGAATGTTTTTTTTCTGTTACTATCACAGGTCATAATTCTCACTATTAACACCATTTGTAGTTCACAATTAGCCCTGTGAATCCCAATGCTGTAATCTCCAGTGGCTATTCCAGATCAAATTTACCAGGGTGTGCTTTTTATGTGCATTTTTTCCGTATTTTTCCCACCACAGAATATATGTCCTCAAACTAAAGGATGAATTTTTGTTACATTTTTAATGTCTGCTGCTCAAAAGAGAAGATTATTTTTATTTAATTATTTTAATTCATCTTAACCAGAGGCCCAAACCATTGATCCATTAGTCCATTGATGTATCAATGTGTGTTTGTGTTCCTCAAGAACACAGGGCGAAAGTCAAATAAAATCTTATACATTTTTGTAAAACCCCAGAGCAGTAAAGTGATGAGCTAAAGATGAAGAAGACCAGAGTGAACCTTCAGCTGTATTGCCATCTTTTATTGCACTTTGTAAGCTGATGCTGTACAGTAGCTGTGAAGAGGAATTATTCCTCAGTGAAAAATTATGAATGTCGTCCTCCAAAAATTAAATGACTCCTGCTCACAAGTGAATACAGTGATGATTAGTTTTGCTTTATATCAAAATAAATTCCCAAATAAAATAACAAAGTCCCACAATTTCATCAAAAAAAGCTATGACAAGTATAACAAATATTTAAATGTTTACATGAGGGCAGCAGGGTGAGGCTTATATAGTAACTACATTAAAATGCAGACAAGTCTTTTGTTTTATACTTGGATTTTCCACAATACAGTATATACAAACAATAACATTACAAGGTTTTCTTTCTCTCTTACATGCAACACTATCATGACCGTTGGTGTCTAAGTGTTTCAAGACTGTACAAATAAATCTAAACATCTGCGGCTAAATTTTTTCAAAATCTACCTTAACCTTGCATCAAGAGGAGAAACTAACAGGAGCGGGTAAACAGTCTTCTCCCTCAGTGGCTGTCATGGCAACATCATAAACACAAAACTCAACCCACGAGTAATCCTTGCAGTTTTTCGTCACCGTACACACACAGTCACACACGCAACACTCGTCACTGATATGATAGATTTTCTAAAACTTTAAACCAGACCCCTGATACAGTACAGTACACTGACACATCAAAAAATGTACAGAGTAATAAGAGGAGGTCATTTTGGTGGAGACTCAGTAGGAAGCAAAACCCCAAGACCTCTTTGGCCTTAAAACGTCCATCGTTTCTTGCAACAGTGATACACTTTGTGTTCATAAAGTATTAGCTTGTGGCGTGGCTGCTAACTCTTCCCCATTTTGGCGATCAGCTCGTCACAGATCTTTGTCAGCTCCTCAATCTCCTTGTTCTGTAAAAAAAAAAAAAAAAAAGTAAAAGCATTAAGTTACCTGGACTGTGTATACACAGAGTCTTTGTCTTCATGTGGGTTGAACTTTTCTGAGAAATTGGAACTGTAGACCTATTATGATACGGCTGTTAACCTAAACTGCATAGAGAGCGATTATCTGACAAGCAGCTGAGGTAAAATGGTAAATCTGGGTCAGGTGCAGGGAGGGGAGAAATACCAAACACGTGGAAGAAGATCCTCCAGTCATTCAAAATGCCAATGAATGGTGCAAAACTGTCAAGACGCTTCACCCTGAACACAGCATCCTCACTATGAAACATTTTTTTTCAGCAGGAACGGGAAAGCTTTTGAGAGTAAAACTGCTAACAATCTACGAAAGACATCAGACTGAGGTAGAGATTCACCTGCCAACAGGAAAATGACCCTAACCATGGAGCCATAATGTAATGATTTGGATATACTGATGTGCTATAATGGCCTAGTTAAAGTTTAAACCCTAAATCCAATTGAGAAACTAATATCCAAAGATGCGTTCCACCACTGTGACCGAGTCTGAAAATGGCCAAAAGCTTCTGTAATCTGTAAATACAGCAAAAAGATGTTCTTCAAAGTACCTAGCAGCAACTGTGCATCAGACATTTAGGATGGTATTATTTATGCAAAATGCTCAAATCATGTCTTTATTTAATCCACAATATAAACATAAACTGGTCATAAAGTACATTGAGGAGGTTGTAAAAAGTTCAGGGGATATGAATACTCTTTTACAAGGTGCAGTATTTCTTTAATGTTAGTGTGTTTCTCATTGCTGACCTTTTGCTCCAAAGTGCGCTCCAGAGAGTCCACCTTCATCTGCTCTTTCCTCAGACTGGCTTGGTGGGCAGCCTGCTCTTGCTTGGCCTTGGATCGGACCTGTGCGATCTCTGCGTTGGCTCTGGAGATGAACAGCGAAAATAAAACAATACAATTACCCTTCAGTACTTGTAAAGGGATAAATACCACTCCGAAGAAGTCAGGAAAGATTGTAATGCATCTCAAAAACAGAAGAAATGGAACTAACCTATTATAAAAAAGCACATTTGGGAGCTTGTATTGGTTGGACGCCTAGAGCTTTTTGTGGTTTAGTCTTTTGTGGGGTGAGAAACTCATTATAATTTGAATTTGTTTATACTCACTTGTCTAGTTTCTCCTCAGCGTGGATCTTCAGAGCTTGATACCGCTGCTCCTCCTTGCGGACTCTGGACAGATACTCCTGGGCGCATTTCTTCAGCACTTCTTCATTCTAAAATGAGAGAGATTTATTTAAATGTCTTGCCCTTAAACTACACTACCCTTCACACTTACCTCTCCATGTCTAAAAAGCCTTAAAACGAAATAATCTTTCATTGTAGCGGGATAACTTTACCCTGAAATTGCTTTCTAAATTCAATATTTAATTTAGGTACATTAACTGTGAGAAAAAGTGGAGGAAGAATTTTTTCACATCATCACTAACTCAAATCTGCTGAAATAAATGCAACTGAGGCATACTTTTTGTGTCTAGTAATGGAAGAAAGATCTCGCAGTGACATCTTGGGGTCAGCAAGTCTCTGTAACAAACACGGAGTTTGCCAAAATACTACTCAGAATTTGATCGAAACCAACTGCTTTGGTCAGATCAGCCGTCTTAAATGCATGTCATAAAATACGCCCCTATTATTACCTATCAAACAGCCCACAAAGGCTCTCGTCTTCTAGGCACGGCAATCCTTTTTAAATGTGTTTTCTTCAGAGGTGCTGATGCTTCTAATAAAACTGTCCAAGGATGGAGTCCAATAATCTGTTCTGTCTCAGTGCACCTCAACATCGCATGCATGATTTGACAAGGCGACCCGAGGCGCTGCCGATGTGTGTCCTCCACACACACCCCCAGGTGGGTTTTGTGTAAAAACACTGTTTGGATGTGCACAAAGTGAACTTGTGCCTCCTCTCAAGCAAAGTTGGAGGATTTGTGATGCGTCAGGTCTGCTTCTCTTTGGGAGTTCGGGGAAACTTTTTAGTGTACGGCCGCATGAACACATTTTCAATTTATTTCAGGACATTTTCAATAAAAATCTGGTGACCTCAAACAGGGAATGGGTCAACACTGTGTCTCTCGGTGAGATATTGTTCCAAAACAGGTGACTGAAACATCACAGAAGTGGTTCACTAGAAAGAAAACTCATCCTTCTTCATCTTTAGACCTAATTCATACGGAAAACCTCTGAATGGAGCAGAAGAGAAGATAGGAAACCTCACACTATGTGAGCTACAAGTATGGGACATATTTTAGGAGGTTCTAACATCAATCTGTCCCTCCAGGATGTTGTGATGTTGCGATCGCAACTGTTAATGCAAATTTACTCCATTTTCACAAATTTTGTACAGACTTGTGATTTTCACTTCTTTTCTGACCAATCACTGCAACTCGGCTCAATTTTGACCAATCCCTCAGCCTCCTTCTAATGTAACTTCCTGTTTCATGACGTCTCATGAAAGCTGAACCTGCAAGATGAGATTATCTGTGACGCTACATGGTAACATTTGCCATTTTGAGATGTTCTGTTGGATTTGATTATAAAGTTCATGTTAACTTAAATGACCAGTATGGAATTCTTCTTTTGGCCTTTGATTTTATTTGTATTTGACCTACTATTTCAAGAATTGAATATACTTATTTGCAACTTAAATATTAACTCTGTTTTGGGAGGGTAACGTGCAACAATTTCAACTTTTTTGTAAAACCATGTTATTGCAAAAGCAAAGTTTTTAAAAAGAAGGGCAACTTTTTGAAAATGATGACACAAAATCAATAATTTTAGGCTGCAACAACCACAAAAAACTGCAACATCCTGGAGGGACTGATTGACTGCATGCTTGTCAGTGAGTGAGATGATTTCTTAACACTGTTGTTTTCCCCTACTGAATGCACTCAAAGGCTGGATTTTTGTCAAATTTTCAGCCTGAGATTATCCTACCAATATAGGATTTTTTGTCAGGGGTGCTAATAACTGTGAAGGGTGATGTTTAAAGTGGCTTACAGGGCATTTTGACTTAGAAGTTTTGAGTAATTAGTGTGGCACCTTGCGGAAGCCCTCCAGCACATCTTTCATCTTCTCATAACGACGGAAGAGGTCAGCCAGGGACTTCTCCACAGAGTTGAGATCAGCCAAGGCCTGATCCTTCTCTATGATCAGCTGCTGGATGGTGTGGTGGGACAGAGACTTCTCCTTTTGATCATCCTCTAATGAACACATACACACACACAGATTTCCTAAATCATCAGTCTATCCACTAGAGATGCTGACGTGGAAGGTACAAACATCTTCCCACAACATACATAAAAATATACACCATTTTTACAATGCAACAAAGTGGAACTGAGGGTTAGAGTGATTGTTCTACTTCAGAAAATCATTAATTTTATTGCATGCAAACAAAATGTCACAATGAGGAAATCAAAAAGGAGAGCTATGTTTTATAAAGCTTGGTAGCTTCGTTTGTTTAGAGCGACACTTGCTTGTCTTTTAAGTAACTTACAGTAGATGATCTACTTGTGCAAATAAGTAAAGCTGCTTGAGTGGCTTTAGCACACACCTTTAGTCAAGCGTCGAAGCATCTTTAAGATCTTTTCATTGTTTGTGTGTCACTCAGATTGATATAGTATTATTTTCAAAACAAACAACTTGACAGATTCTTTCCTTTATATCTATAAAAAAGTCAAGTCTTAGCCTTTATGTGAAACGCAACAGAATGGACAAACAAAAGCTACTAGATGAGATGAAGAAAAGGAGCACACCTGCTCCCCTCTCTGACGGACGGATGGAGAGACGCGAGCTGACACAAACAAGCAAAGTACGGCTCTGTGTTACTCACCTGGCATGCCTGTCAGGGTTATCAAATAGTAAGGGGCAATGATGGGAGCAGAACAGAAAAGAAGGGAGTGTGTTAAGTCAAACTGGGAGGGTCAAGACATGTGAGAGAGCCGAGCGTTAGACATGAACAGAAACAGATTATGGCCTTTTAGTGGGCGTGTTCTGAGAAGAGCAAGACATTAACTTAAGACTGCAGCACAAGCCAAATATTCAAGAACGCCTGAAGTTGGCAAAAAAGGATGTAGGTGAGAGCAGGGAAAATGTAAAGTGAGCAAAGTGGTGACAAGGGTGCCGTCAATGGATAATTGTGATGGTTCCCACCACCACCGGTGTCAGAATCTCTGCCGCAGCACAAGATTAACAAAGCTAAGCTAGAGATGAACCAATAAGTCAGATTATGACTGACTGATAGGAAGTTAAATAAATCAAGGAGCAACACCTGAATGTGGAAGTTGTTGCTCAGGAAAGAAGGCTGCTACTATGAACAAATTATGGTTTTCTACAGCGTACTTTGAATGTTTTCGTTTCTAAAATAGTTCTTAAAGAGAGATTGCAAATTATTAAAACTGGTATTAGCAGGTGAACTTTTTCTAAAAACTTGAAAACTCTGACTGTTGCGTTTCTGAAGTAAACCATTTGAAATCAGAGGCGGCGGGGTAAAAACTATAAACTTCAATAAGACACCAAAGAGCAAATTAAAGCACCAGAGTTTGATGAAAAAGATTTTCTGATGCATGTTAAATTGTGCACTTGGAGTCAATGATTACATTAAGTGAGGAAGTGGAAAAACTCACCTATCATCTGCGCAATAGTCTTCTCATACTCTGCAACAATCCTCCTACAGATAAAAAAATTATTGCAAATTTACTGTCAACACAATATCAGTGTGTGCAATATTAGTAATGTAAAGAAAGGCTCGGATTGCAATAAAATTGAGAAAATTATATAAATGCCATTTCATTCACTATTTAGGTCTGTGAGTGCAGTTGCACACTTAATGTTGGTCGAAATGTCTTTTTAACTTTTTGTTTATTGAATTAAAAGTAAATAATAATTTGATTTATTTATTTCAAAAATTTTTTAAAAAAAAAAAAAAAAAAAACAATCAGTAGGACAGAAAAAATGTGCAAACATAACCGGTAAAAATGTTTACCACTACTTTTCTGTTTGAAAAGGAGTAGGAAGAAATGAACACTTATTTAATCCAACCCCTTATCTCAATTTAATGAAATACATTACTCACTTATTCAATAACTATCAAAAAAATTTAAACCATGTAATAAAGCAAAACATAACACAGCAATTTGCAGAAACTACAGAGATGTTCAAATGTCCAAAATGACATCAACATGAAGCTGGAGCATCCCGAATCGAACAAATTGGAGTACAATGTTAGAAAGCCTTGGTCCAGTCCAATCAAAGCATTTTAAAATGATAATCCCTGCAGTCCCAATAAAACTAGTTCCTGACGGTCACTCAAAGCTATCCACCAAGCCATGCAACCACATTTTCAGTTGTCAATTTAAAAGGACATAACAGACAATTTTCATGTGTACAAATGTACAGTAGCCCCCAAAATCTGAAAATAACTTCTAAGAAAATAAAAATCTACCCAATGTATCCATTTTAATGTGTTTTCTTTTCTTTCACACTCTTTCTTATTCTTGTTCTCTTTCTTATTGTTGTCATTTGTTATTTTTGCTTATTTAATCGCTTATTTCGTAGATCAATACTTCTGTTTGCTAGTCTGTAATGTTTGTTTCGTATGAGCTAATTTGTGAATAAAAACTGAAAAAAAAACTTTATAGTAGGCCATGAACATCATAGACTTCTCTGTCTGTTGTAGATCTGTGCCTGTTCTAAAAAAAACAAGCATCTAAATTCTTACTAAAAGTAAAATAAGTAGGTTAACCTGTGATGTGTGATAGATTTCTTCATGCTTGCATTGTTTCTTTAGAAATAACTGGACCATTTTTGACTGTTCCAGTAAAACAGGTTGTACGGGGTAAGAGGATTGATTAGCCTTGCCTCCCTCTTAGTCTCTTAGCTCCTCCTTATCCAGAGCACAATCAGTTAAAGGAGGTAAGCTCTGTCTTATCCATGCTAAATGACCCAGCTGCACTCACACTCACCACCTGCTAACCGACAAGAAGCTTCAATGCTGCTTATATCCAGTTTCCTGTCTGAACCTAAAGCTGTTTGCTGACTGTTGTTTATGGGTGAGTTTAGAGCTGCTGTTAGCAGGTTTGGTGTAACAATATCTACAGTAATTAATTATTTAGTCATCTTTTCTATCTAAAACATCTTAAAGCACATCAGTCTGATGTGCGCTCAGCGCAGACTGGCGTACTCTTTAACTGGTTTTCCATTCTGGACCCAAAGGTGTCTTTGTTTCAGATAAACCAAGTAAGAAGTTCAAAAGAAGACAAAGACATTTGCTAGATATCTATAAGTGATAGACTTGACAACAACTCAATGTTTCTTTTTACCTCATCTCCACCACTTCCTGTCGACTGTCCTCGTACTTCCTCTGCCACTCCAGAACCTCTTTCTCTTTTGACACAATCTATGAAATAGGGGCAAACACTTTTAAGTAAAGCTCTAGACGTTGAAATGAAACGACTTTTACCACTCAATGAATAAAAAGAAATAGAAGGGAACCTCCTCTCGTGCGATGTCCAACGACTGGTCGAGATCTCTTGGCAGGTGCGGACTCTCGCCTTCGATGTAGCTGCTGCTGCTGGTGGTCTTGGCGTAGAGCGAGCTCTTGGGAATGGAGCTCTCCACAGAAGACAGCATGTCCCGGTGCTGCTTCCAGGAAGCAAAGGAGAGCAGGGAAAGGAACGGAAACATGGCGAGTTACAAACCGGACACCAGACCAGATGCAGGGGCTCGCACACGAGCCCAACAGGTTTCCTGAACCACGACCTCAATGCAGCATGGAACCACAGAAATCTGTTCCACGCAGCAAAACTCTGCTGGCGAATGCTGCAAAGCTGGTGATGTTTCTGAGGACTTGGTCGGCCACTACATGATTGGATGAAACAGCCTTCATCGCTACAGTAATTACTGCGTAATTGGCTGATGCTGGCCCCGGCTGAGCGATCATGAGCGCCTGCTGCTTGCAGAAGCTTGAATGTGAGTTGGTCTGAGCAAGACAAGAAGGAAGGAGCACAGCAGCAGATAGTAAAATAGAGATGGACGATAAGGGAGCTGGACTGGGCAGCAGGGGCATTCCTGTTAGTGTTTGGTTGTAAAAGATTAACTGGTCTGACTTCACAGTTTTCACTAAAAACTTGAAAAGTTTCCAAGATGTGCATGGGTCTGTAAAAGCTAAGACAACATATATACTATTTCACCTCTAAAATTTGGCCTGGAATAAAAGGACTTAGTCGTCATCGGAAGAGCTGGATTAAAGGAGGATTTAATAAAACGGTGGGGGCTCAAAGAGAACAGCAAGAAGGAATGGAGCTAAGTGTTGTGTCTGGCTCATGAAGTAATGCGATTACTCTCATATAAAACGAACGACTAATTAAATTAAGGTAAATAGTAGAAACTCTGATCAGTGCATCTCCATATAAAATGCTGTCTAGATGTAGCACATCTATGATCTACTGAGGCTCAAGTCTGCAGTGCAGTCTGGATGTATTTGGACTAGATTGTAGCAGCTCTGTAGTTCAGAACCAAAAGGGGCAAAGTGCTCATTTTGAACTTTAGAGAAAGGCAAACAGCTTAAATCTACTGTGCTCATTTAAGCTGCTTTCTATTGATATTCAAATCAAGAGAAATATGTTTTAAGAAGATAATTTAACTAAAAAGATATAACAATGGTCATATCATTGAATCCAGTGTGTTGTTGTATAACTGGGTCAGTGAAACAATGAAAAATATGCTCTTGCCCAAATACTTGGACTGCACTCTAGTAGGGTAAGTACAGATCACAGGGTGTCTTGTTACTCTTACTTTGAGTAAGGGTGAACCGTTGATATTCCACCGCCGTGTGCTGGGTTTCTTGAGTCGAGACTGAAACGTGTGGAGCAACAACATGAGACTTGGAGGGACAAGATTGGGAACCAATCCTACTCTGACTCTTTCAAGGATTTTTCCCCTTCCTGACTTCCTAACTCAGCTGCATCTTCAGTTCCAACAAAAATATATCCCTTTGGATCCATTTGCTTCATTGTTGATGTTGAGGCTTAAGCAGTGGTTAACAAATCTGCAGAATGTGCCAATTCCTTTTATCCCATTAACTGATTCGTCAACAAAATAAGTGATGCAATAATTGATTACTAATCGCTGCTTACAGCTTTAATTTCAATTAGCAAAAACTTTGAAAACCATAAAGAATTTTTTAATCCACTTCATAGTTACCCTCTTGTGTTGGCCACATAAAATCCCAAAAAGGATAAATTAAGCTTTGCAGTTGTAAAACAACACAATCTGATAAATTTCAAAGGTTTTGAAGATTTTTGCCCTGCACTGTAATATTCTGTGTTGCGTTTGTGTTGTTAGTTTGGGGGAAAATAAAAAAAAAAAAAAACTTAAATGTGACTGGAGATTTGAAACAGAGGATGATCAAATACACCAGGGAGAGTTGCAGCCATGTAACTGTGCAGCTGCGGTTTTTAGGTTATCGTGTTACGTCCCCAGTCACATTCATGTTGATGTAAGCCTCTCATGAACAGGCAACAGGCAGAAAACAACGCAGGGGGCAAGGAAGGCACTGGACTGAGTATTAACCTGGAGGAGCTCGTTGCCAGTCTGAATGGGAGCCGGACACGTTAAGCATCGTTAGCGGTATCATGTGGAGGGGAGCGCCGGGATTGTGGATGCTGCAGCACAGCCGCCATGCCGAAGGGGCCGATCGGCAAGCCGAGACACACCCATGCAAACACCGCAGTCTACAATGACCCACTTCAGCTACACCTGCTTTTCCCTAATCACTCATTCAAGATGCCTATTTTCTGCAACAAACACGCTCACCCACACACACTGAATACAGCAGGTGCAGGCTGACTCAGCGCAGTACCTGGGGGGTTACAGTGGAGAGGGAGGGGCACTGAGAGATGCTTTGGGCTACTTGCAGAGCCTCTAGCCTCAGGGCAGCAAGCACCAGCTCCTCCTTGGCCGCACACAGGGGGGGCCAAATATCAGAGGGGGAGAGGAGGCGGCGGGGTAAGGGAGGAGGGTTGAAGAGAGCAAAGGGAAACATACAAAGACTTGAATTGAGAGCACACATTTGCTGCCGTCTGCATTTTACCAATCATTAATCTACTTCACGCAGCAAGCCAAAAACTGCAAGTACGGGGAGGAGGAAACATAAAAAGATGAAAGGGATGAAGTACGCTGACACAATGGGAACGATGTGGAAACAAAAAAACACACACAGTCACATTTCCTCCCCAGAGCCAGGACCTTCGAGGTTCGTCGAGGTGGGGCAACACACCTGTAGTTTTTGGGCGAATGCGGTTGGGTTGGTCTCAGCCAGGTCAGGCTCCAGGTACTGCAGGGGGTCCTCACACTCTGACAGCCTGTCTAACAACAGGGGCATGGCCTGGGCTGGAGCAGGGGCCACCACGGGGCCCTGGCCAGAGGGCTACAGGGGCACCAGGAGGAGTGGGCAGAGGGGTGGGGTGGAGGAGGGGGACGGGACAGCACAGCAAAGCAAGCGCTGAGTGTTTGAGTGGCAACTTATTTCCTGAACCAAAGCTGGGAGAAAGTGTGTGATGGGGCTGATTTTTGGAGAATCACTGTGATTCGAGTCTTGGGATAAAGTCTCTGGATAAAGGTGCTCATTTCTGATTAAACAACAACGTGGAGTAAGATGCAACTAAATAAAAACATGACATACAGGTGCATCTCAATAAAATGGAATATAAATTAGAAGATTCTTTTTTTACGATTGCAGCTTACACCTAATAAAAGACCTACAATTCAGGTTACTGTTTTTTTAAATATTACAAAATAAAAATATTAAAGTTAGTTACAAAAGCAAATTCCTAAAGAACGAGGCTGTCAATGGAGTGTTGTATCTAAATATTTTAATAGAAAATTTAGTGGAAGGATAAAATGACAGAAGCAGGAGCACTAGCCGCAAGGATAACCATTAGCCCTGTGAAATCCAATCAAAACAGAAATATTAGTCTACTAAAAAGTATGCCCATGTTCATACAGTACATACTCAATACTCAAATGAATCCAATACAGATTATACAAAATCTACTCTAATCTGAACAGAGGACAATTGAGCAGCAGCAGCCCAAATAAGTCACATACGGATAAATTTGTTTCAGAAGTACAGTTGTAGTCTACATCCAGGACTTTTTCCTTCCACTCAACTTTTTTAATGAAAATATTTGACAGCACTCTGAACATCAAGCTTTAAAAAAAACAAAACTTTGTGGTTTACTCTCTTTGTGGAGGGTTTCAAAGTTCACTTTTCCATGTAAGTTACTGAAATAAATTCCACTTTTACTACAGAATCTACTGAGATGCATCTGTAATTCCCATACATGATGATGAGTACACAGATAAATGAAACCCAGTTTATTCTTTATAACAAATGTGATCAGTGCTAGCTGTTTACCAAGAGCCCCGGTCTCACCTGCTCGTCCCTCTCTATGCTCTGTGTCCGGCTGAGGACATCGCTCTCTCTCTTCCTGCCCTTATCTCCAGCAGAACCTTCGGGTCCGGGCCGCGGGCTCAACACCGGCGTCTTCATGCCTGCAGATATCTGGGCTTCCATTTCCTCAAAACTCCTGTGCAGAAGGACAACAATCTGAGGTCTGAGTAAAAGTGTCAGGGAGCGTGTGAGATGTCTATATACAATAGACAGAAGTGATAATTAATACTTTATTTTACCAAATAAAATGCATTCGGTATTCAACCCAGACTGTTGATCCATACACTAAAAATATCAATAAAATTCACACTATTATGACGTTACTGATTTAAAGTTGGCTGGTTGAACTTTTTTTTTTTTTTCCATAAATGTAGAGGTAGTAAAAATTATTTAAATCCAGTCTACTAAAGTACAAATATTCAGTGAAACAAAATTGAATATTGCCATAAAAATTAATCAAAATAAATTATTGTTAATTAAGTAGAGTACATGATGACTGATTTTGGTATTTCCTGGTAAAGGCATAAAAAAAAAAAACTTATAGCGCAGAATTAAACCATGATGAGTTATACTTTACTTTTCTAAAGAGAGTCGACGAAATGTTTTTCCCACTGAAATAACTTAAATTTACAGTGTGTGTTTTTGTGTGACATGCTACATTTATTTCAATGCTTTTTTTTTTTTTAAACATATTTTCACCAGCTGAGCCAATAAGTGGTGAGGACACTCAATAATCCACCAATAAATATATTGGTATATACCGTTTTCAAATGCATACAAAGATCATGACAGTATGAAAATTTAAATCTCAGACATCGACATGAAATATATTATGCAAAGCTGTAAAGTAACATATCTAGCAATGCTGCAATGTGTGGATAAGTAATGTAAGGCATATTTTACCCGGTGCAGGGGGAGCTTGGCTCAGATCCATGTCCACAAGCAGCTTTGGTTAAGTTGTCAGACACTGAGTCCAAGTTCAAGTACAGAGATGGCTTTTTGATAGACAGTGGCTGCAAAAGACAAAATTAATAAAGAATGCTGAAAACTGAAATAATTCATCATCATTAGAGATGCTCAGAGACATTAGCTGGTGAGTGGAATCTAACAGTTTTCAGCTGGATCAGCCCGGACCGGTCTATCAAATTAATAAAAAAATAAAATAAAAAAAAATTCTAATGAACATATCAGACCTAAGAGTTACCACAGGAAAATATGTAACTGCAAAAATGTGGTGACACTACTGATTATGATTAATGCACATTTCTACTTTCTATTCCTACAACATTTTCCTAACTGATAGGAAGAGTGTGAATGCATCACACTTAAAATTTAGCAAGTTGCTAAATATAGTGTCCAAGCAGTCCATTATCACTGGGATATTGCACACACTGACAATGCGTTGACAAATGTGAGTCTTTATATAGTGCAGCTCTTTTTTGGAATGGAAGAGAGGTTTAGAAATGTTGGGAACCCCAGAAGAGGCAAGGACTCGAGGCCTGCTGGGAATACACATGAAGCTGCTGTTTGTGTTATACTAACTATGATAATCTCTATTACGAGACGTTAAAGACCAATAAGAGAAACTTGGTAATCAAATCTTGGCAGGGAGAATTCAGAAGAATATGCTTAATACAGTTGTTATATCTTATATGTGCAGTCTTTAAAATGAAATTTAAATAAATTAGAAAATTATTTAAATTAATTATATTTTATAGGTTAATTACACACAGGGTGGATGTTTTCCAGGTTTTATGCCTGGTAAATACGATGATTTTCTGAAATAATGGTACCATATCCAAACGCATATTCCAATTTATTGAATATGAACGTGTGTTTGCTACAATCTGTATCAAAACAATTTGATTGGTGCATCTCCAATCAACATACACAAAAACATCAACATGCATAAAAACGGAAAATAAATCACATCTGTCATCAATATGCCAAACAAATACTTACTGGGGAGGAAGAGCCAATCTTCTCCATGTACTCAATTTCATAGTCCTGGACTGAAACAGACCAAGAAACAAAACCAAGAGTTAGAACCAGAATACGAGGTGGACAACCACAGTGATCAGTGTTTAGGGCTGTCTGATGGTGATCAGAGGCTGAACCAGCGCTGTCTGCTCCCTGTTTCATCTACGACCCAGATGGGTTGAGCCAGACAGCAGCTGGGAGGAGGTGGGTCTTTTGGTGGTCAGAGGGCAGTGGAGAACTGGGCCAGCCCTTTTATTTATTTATTTATTTATTTTTACTACTAGTAGAAAAGTCAATACACTACTGCTCTATGAACGGATAACAAAGTAACTGGTTGCTTTACATGAGCATCTATCCAAACAAAGCTTTGAGCTTCACTGAATAGCTGTTCGAGTGTGGTACGCTTTGATGTTGCATGAACACAGGTGCCTGGAGGGCACAAAAAAAAAAAAATCAGACAGTAACGTCAAACCTGGATTCTCCTGAGGGAGACTGTTCTCATTTACGAAAGTCGTAACGTCGCAGGGCTGCGGGAAGTCTTGGTGGTCAGTGTTTAAATCTTGGTCCACCTCGTGGCGGACCGCCCACTTATGACCGGTGGAGGAGGCCAGCTTCTCCTCGTCTGTGGCGTGATCATCCTGCTGATGAAGGGACGAAGATTCTTCTGCAGATGTGGGATCCTGCAAGAGAACGGCAAAGAGGGAAACTCTAAAAATCAGCTGGAACTTTAAAAGTGAGAAAGAACCCCAAAAGAGAGCGTATTAAACACACCTGGGATGTGTCGGACATTGGGGATTTCTTTGGCGACCTCTTCACTCTGAAAGTATTACTGAGGGAAAAGAAACAACAAAACATAAATTATTAAAATCCAGGGTAATCCAGAGACTTTGGAAAACAACACAATGTTAGATCCGGCATCTATGGTCTTAAAATTAATATTGCTCACTGGTGAAATTCCAAGTACTCTGGATGGAAACGTCTTTCTTCACATGAAAGGATGACATTACTTCATGAGAAACAACTGAATCACTGTGTCAGAATTACAGCTCAGAGAAGATGAATAATTAATATCAATTCTAATTTTAAATATTATAAAAACCTCTGCAAAGAAACAAAACATTTTATGTGCCCTAGTAGATGGTGACACAAAAGTTAATGTGTATTAGCTGTTAAAGGTATGTCTATATATATATATATATATATATATATATATATATATATATATATATATATATATATATATATATATATATATATATATATATATATATATTTTTTATATATATTTATATTTTTTTTTTTTTTTTGTATAGATATATA